CTGGGATTGATTTTCTTTGCAGCCGGCAACCCAAAATTGACAAGGGAATGTGGAATATCACCCACAATTTTTGTTTGCATTCTCTTGTCTGCTTTGTGGGACTGGCTATCTTGAATTCAGGATTGTAATCCTTTCAGATAACTAATATATCGTCTTGTGTCAAATGACTGCATAAATTGCATTTGGGTCCAGATCTGAAGAGAATCCATTTCATGGTATAATATCCTGGTAAACTCAAGATTCAGATTCCCATTAGATGAAGAAGAGGCAAAGAAACTCATCCCATTGAATGCAGGAATATCTTTTAAAAAATGAAATTGATGGCTTGTACTCTAAAAGTAATAATACATATTAATTTCTGAAATAATGTGACAATGTCAGGATTTATTATTTATTGTCCATCCCCTGAAGTGCTTGGAGCAAATGAAAAGAGCAAACCTGCCCCTAGCATATTTTCCAACCAGCTGCAACACGCCTGCCAGTTGAAATCACAAGTAGTAAGTCAACCATTTAAATGTTGGAGCAACATGTTTTTGGTTTTAATATAGCCGTGACCCCACTGCACAGCCAGGCTAGGAATCAGGGCTTGACCTTTCGGAATTGTGCTATTTATGGAGCAGCTTCTTTGCCTTCATGTCAGGATGCTTTCACCTAAGAAATCAGGTGAAACTACCCTGTATTCCCTGTCTTCACCAAAGATAACCAGGCTGTGTGCAATTATCTCTCACCCAGTTTTCCCACTGGAAATGTTGGCTACAGTTTAACTCTGCAAATATTTCTTCTGCCATGTTTGAATTTATTGCTAAGAAATTTAGAATGTAAAGTGGACAAATGGAAGGCTTCTCTCAGTTTCTTTTGGGTGAATCTTAAGTAGCAATTAAAAGAACAAATGTGTTCCCAGTGTGGTAAATTCAAACAAACATATGCAAGCCAACACATACTGTATGTATGTATGTTGCACAGCCATAATCAGCATACCTGATTAACTTGCCATATAATGGATAAATACAAGTTTGATCTACAATACTTCCAGCAAAGATATGCAGGCAGAGATCACAATGCTTTCACAAAAATATTAATCAATCTGAAGTTCTTTTATGTGGGAGGGAGGAAGGAAAAGATGTTAGTCTATTTTAGCTAACTTCATCTTCTTTACAAGGAATTGAAGATAGCCCAGTCTGATGTGTATTGTCTTCCAAGTGCCTGTATTCATGATGCGATATGCTGGTGAAACTCTTCAAGCCACAGATAACTATCTCTTTCTTTTGATCCTTGGGGGGGGGGGGAAATAAATGATACTGCCAGAAGAGGTCTTGTATCAATTTCCAGGCTATGATTTTATGGGCATTAAGAAGGAAGATTGGGAGCAGATAGTGTTTTTGTGAATTCTTCCAGTTGAGATCAAGACGTAAAAAGAAAAACAGAATCTTGGATGTGAACAACTGGCTACATAGGTAGTATGGCTGAGAAGAGTTTGGGTTCTATGACTATTAGATCACGAACTTCTGACAAGATCAGGTTTCATCTCATAAGGACGGACAAGGATGTATTCAACAGGCACCGCATGGTGTTCATCATATGGGTGTTAAAGAACAGCAAATGGAAGAGGATGGCAGCAGCCCAGAACCTACTATACTGTTACATCGGTGGCAACAACCATAGGACAGAAAGGAAAAAGTGTAAGACTGGAGTGGAAAACTTAGAAATTGGCAGGAAACTACAAATGTGAATCCCGTACAGAATGATGAAACTTGGTGGGATGACACGTGATTAGAAGAATCTGGAAAAAGACAACTTATTCAAAAGGAACAGGTTCAATACATAGGAAGCATATGCCTGCAGAAAAATCCACCAACCAAAATATGGTGGGTTGTAAAAATTATAAATGAATAGTTTATTGTAAACTATCCAGATAGAAAGCCAGAAGATATGGATAAAGCTTTTCTATGCCATATGATCAAATTTTCAAAAAGGTACATAATAGAGATGATAGATTTCAGGTGGACTGGATATCTGCTAGAAATCCATGTCATGAATCATGTCCAACAAATTCCTAGCCTTTGTTTTTTGTAACCACCTTATTGTGAAAATAAAGAACACAGTTGGCGTTTGATGGCATCAAAAATTAAAAATAAATGTATGTATTTATGCATATAACCAACAGGAAGGGAAGTAAATGAAAAATTGGAAGAATGTTTCATTGAGTTTCACAATTACAAGGGAAGGAGTAGTAAAATCAGTTTCGTGTATTGGATTTCAGAAAAGCAGATTTTGATGAACTCAGGTGGAAGGTGGGTCAATTTCAATGGCTGGAGATCCTGAAAAATAAGCTATGGAAAATGCAATAATGCACAATTCCTACCAGAAGTTAAACTGGAAGACCAGTGAGGTCATGTAAGTTTTCTAACATAGGAAATTAGAAAAGGGGCATGTAACCCAAGGGGGATAAAAGGCAATTGCAAAAACGAATAAAAACAAACTACAGGGATTAAGCCAGAAAAGCTAAAATTGAATCTAAATTAGTTTGTAAGAAATGCCACAGCAAGAGACATTTTCAGGTACTCAGAAACAAAAGGCATTAAGGCTGTACGTTTTTTGTAAGGAGAATGGGGTGAACTGGAAATGAATGATAATGAGAAAAGAGAATATCTTATTTTACATTTTACATTAATCTCAGGAAACAAAATCCCAGCTGAGTGTGTCACTTGTGAAAGAAAGGAACTTCAATTCTGAATAGATGAAAAGAAATACTTCACTAGTTTAAATTAGGGACTCCAGGACCGGATGAATCTAACTCACCTTCCATTTGCGTTCATCAATAAAGTAGTGTAGGAGATCTCAGGAAAGCTAACTATCATCTTTGAGAAGTCCAGGAAACCTGGAGAAATTCCAGTCCCAATTGTGATCATAAGTCAAACATTACCTGCATGAACAGGAGCACAGCATTCAAGTCACACGTCTCTTTTTTTCTCCTCTTTAACCAGACCTAATTTGGAATACTAAGTCCAGGTCTGAGCACTGCAGTGTAAAAGGACATGGACAAATTAAAGCAAGTTTAGAAGAAGGCCGTGAAGATGGTGAAGAGGCTAAAACCAAATCTCCAAAAATGAAGGAGCTGCAGAACAGATGCAATAGGACTGTCAGGGTTATATTAACGGTTATCATACAGAAGCAGGGGATTTATTCTCCTAACACTGGGGAGGGTAAGACCTAATGTGCTGGAACAACAGAGGATTCAGATGTAAGACATCTAGGAAGAATTTCCTGACACAAGTGACCAACCAGTAGAACAGAATGCCTAATGAAGTGGTATTATGCTGTTTGCTGGAGGTATTCAGAGCCTGGACAGCCATCAATAAGGTTTTTTAGTATATCTTGGTCTAAGCATGAGGTCAATTTAGATAACTTTTTAGGTCACATTGAATTCTGATTTTTGTCAGGGAGGTGTATGTATATAAAAGGAAAGAGTGGCTTCTTTCCCTGAAAGCCTCTTATATAAGTAGTAATACCTAGTCACCCTTGACCCATTCCCTTCCCACCCGCCACCCCCAAGGAAAAGCCTGTTAATACTTGGATTGGAAGTCATGCCAGGGTTGCAGGACAATTTGAATGGTTGCAAAATATCCTGGAAGAAAACAATGGCAAATGAGCTCAATCTTGACTTTTACTTTGAGGGGCAACTCACAACCCTTACAAAATTGCACACTTGAGTCCTCCCAAACTGGCATTCCAAACTTTTACCTGCTGTGCTTCACCAGCTCTTAAGGCAACTTTGTGAGGTGTAACATTTCTGTTTCCCATAGGGCAAACTGAAGGAAACACACTTGTCAACAATTCTTGAAAATTTCATGAGATCTTTTCTCTGCTCTATTTACATTTTCTGTCCAGCTAGGTGGGGAGACAGTGGTGGGATCCTGCCGGTTTAACAACCGGTTCGGTGAACGCGTGCTATGCACGCATGTGCAGTTTTATGAAAACTTACCTTCCGCTTTACTGCTGGGGAGTAACACAGCTGAGGTGCGGCAATCCACTCTGCCGCGTGAATCAGCTGAGAAAATATAAGTCAGTAAAGCGCAGAGGCGGGCCCATCTGATCATTGGAGCTACCAGTTTGCCTGAACGGGTCCTAACCAGGAGAATCCCATCCCTGCACCTAGAATAAGGCAACTGAGAGAAAAGACATCCCCACCAGCTTCTATTGCTCCTGGCATCTGGTCAATTTTTCTTAAATCCAACTGAATGAGAAGGTAATTCTGCTCTCCTCTGTGGGATCCTCAAAGGCAGTAATGAATTTACTTACCATAATTACCAATTTAAGCCAAAGAGGAGAGAAGTGAATATGTTTAAGCAGCTCTGTACACCTTTCACCTTGCAAGAGGACCTCATAGTCACAATTCAGCCTTATGGCACTAGGAACAAGCTTTTTCTGTTCTAATCAAGAATATAACATAAAGGCCTCGCACACAGAATGAGCAGCTGCTGTCTACTACTGCTAGTAGAGTCCTTTGACATATAAAGTAAATGAAACAATGGTGCAATGTTCTAAATGAATGATGAGAACATGGGAAGGGGAGGGTTGAAAACAATATAAATAAGCAACTACCCATCCAGTGACTGCTTAATGCATGTTAATACACCAACTGTGCCTTAACATTTCTGGAAAACCTGCATGAACATACTTTTATTAAGCTGTTGGGATGTTCCTGCTTGTCCCTAAGTTCTATTACATGACATAATTCTTAAGTTCACATGTTTAAGCTATCAAGCAGTCACCTTTTCAGGCTTAGAGGCCGCTCATATGCCTTATTTTTAATGGAAAAAGGCATTTCCCTAGCAGATCCTTCAGCAAGTATGAAGATGGCAGCTACCTTTGCAAAGAGTCTGGCACATCTCTGCAATGAAAAGGGCTGAATGACACAATCACACCTGGAGTAAAAACCTTGCGAAAATCTATCACCAGGGAGCCGATATGAAAGAGGCCAGCACACACAAAGCCTGGAATGATGTCATTCTTCCAATTTAGTAGTGCTTATTGCAAGTTATCTTTAAATGACCTGGCACACAACCTGGAAATGAGTACTTCTTTCTGAAGCATGTTGTCTTTTTTCCCCGGTGGAATCCATTGTTCAACTCCAAACATAGAAAATTAAAACAATCGTTTTCTTCGGAGTGGGTCCATGTATGCTGTCATCTTTTAGACTGGATGAACAGTTTGCATCCTCTGCCTGGAAGCACCTGGAGCAACGAAGCTTTGTCCTCCTGTAGAGGTGGCTTGCGGGGGAAGACGCTTCTTTTTGTTTCTCAAGGCAGCACTTCTAGTCTCGTATCTCAAAATAGTCGTTTCATGGAATTTAGTTCAAAACAAAAACCCAGCTTGTTCTGAAGTAGCAGCCGCGCCAGAATTGTCCAGATATACAAAGATATCCTTTGTTATGGCGATACTGAAAAGGTAGCCATTCAAAGGAGGACATTCACAGAGACTTTTGTTAGCTCAATGCTTTCCCTCTTTAGAGAAGGGTAAGGGAGTGGGGCAGAAGAGAGCATACAAGCATGATTTCAAGTCAAAACCCACATAATTCACACAAGCACAGCATTGCAGAATGATGGAGTGTCAGCACTCCACTGGAAATATTAAGAGCTTAAGCATTACATTTTTTTTTTTAAAAAAAGCATTAAAATATTCTGATGATACATGCTGCAGAATGTTAAAAACACAGTTTTGAACTAGGTTCAATTCTTATACTGACTAAAAGTGAGCGTGTAAACACACAGATAGTCCTCAATATATCGCTGGTCATGTAACGACCATTCAAAGTTACCATGGCCTTAGAAGAGATGTTTCACAGCTTGTAAAGCATTTCCGGCCATCATGAAATGTCGCGATGCCTCCCTGCGATCACATGACCACATTTTGGGCACTTAGCAACTGGTTCACATTTACCACCAGTTGCAGCATCCCATGGTCATGTGACCACAATATGCAATTATTATTTTTTTTGCCAGTTTCTCGTATTTTTACATTGGGGAAAAAGTCAGGTCAGTCAATGGTGCGTTGATTTATGGTCGCAATGGCTTATAACTAAAATTCTGGTCCCAATTATTGTAAGTTGAGGACTAGCTGTATATCTTTAAGTAATAGTTTAGAAAGTACTCTTGGATTTTACATCCAATCCCTACAAAACATTCAAGCGATCAGGTCTAAAAGAATTATTTTCCAGACAGATTTACTGCAACTAATGGGCAATTGAGAATGAGGTGAGTGAAGGGGAAATTATGGCAAATAAATAAAATCCCAGACTTCCTCTCTTTAGAAAGCCCTCCCTAAAAAGTGTTTCCTTAAATGAGAAAACTCTCCATGGCTGCTAGGGAAGCCTGACAATAAGTGGGCTATTTTGGTCCTGCAAGAATCCATATGATTCTTAGCTGGCAATGAAGGGGGAGTTTTTCACTTGTTGCCATCACTTAATTTGGATTTTTGTGTTCAGCTATATAATATACTCTTTCAACATACTGCGAAAGATTCTGGAGCACATACAGCAATGAACAGTATCACAGATACTTTTTTGATTTTATTTCTCTATTAATAGAGAAATTTGCATTCAAATGTCTCAATTAGCTTTCAAAATATCTTATTTTTTTCAAGCTATAAATGCTATCTCATCTGGCTAGGATTAAACCAATGCTTTTCAACATTAGCACTCTTAAGATATATGGACTTCAACTCTCAGAACTCCTCCAACCAACTTGAATTCTGGGAAATGAATTCATATCTTAAAACTGATAAAGTTGAGAAACAATGATTTAAACTTTCTGCTCAGAATATTTTGTTCTTTTTACTGATGATTTCTGGGAGCAGAGATGATTAAGCAGCTACTCCGAGATTAGCCTCAATTAACTCCCTGGTTACCTCATCAGAATATGGACATTAACTAAAGCTCACAATGCTGGGCTTCTTCACATGCTTCTGGACACCAGGTCAATAAGAGATGGAAAACTGGTTCTACAATGCTCCTTAGCTGAAGACCAATGCACATCATGATTTGAAGGCTTTCAAATTGGGAAATACATAGGGAGATCAGAAACCTCTCCCACTCAAATGCTGGAAGAAGCATATTTTCAATCCACGTATCCCCACTCAAAGTCAATTTAGCAATTGCAATACTGAAGTTCTGTTAGAAATGTAATCAGCAAAACTTCATACAAGTGCCCATTCCTAATTAGCCTAACACAACAACAGATTGAAACAGAAAAACAAGAACCTACAGGCTCTACATGCTCAGATAAAAATCTTCAGATAATTAAGATCTTACAGATGTAATAATAGAAATGCAATATCTGAATCGCATTGGTGGTAGGGAACTGGGTGCAAATGAAACTGAGTTTTTGACAGCAATCATTGTGCTGTGCCTTAACAATTTTTAGCATGAGGTTTCTTAATAGACAAGGAGTCCAAATGAGACATATTAATGCTTAAAGGAGCTTTGGTGAAATCCAAAATCTCTACTCCCAGCAGAATAAGTACAAGGGAACCATCAAGAGCAGCAGGGCAGGCTTACCACACTTCCAAGTTAACAAAGAAATACACATTACCATCCAAAATATTCCTTTTTTGTCACCATGTCGTCTAGATAGAACATCCCAAAATTTCATACTAGATACATTTTAGAAAGTAAGTTATAATCTTGTAGAGTTCAAGTAAACCACCTTATGACAGAATCAAGGGAAATGGAGCTTCCTCTGTTACTAGGCGTTAGTGGGAAAATGTCCAGAGGTAAGATCCAGAAGCAACCATGATCCCACCTATTTATTAGTCTGCAGTTAATTCCACCAAACTATCAAAATAGTAAAATAATGGCAAAATTATTTTATCATAAAAGGACTGGAATGCTTCCATATTCTTTTGGAGTGCATTTTGCATACCACTTTTAAGTTCTGAAAACATTAAAGGAGTTGTTTAACAATTTTGTTTCCTTCTGTGCTTGTGCATCTAGGGGAGTCCATATTCTCCCCAAAATGTAAACACAAGACAGAAGGAAGAGGCAGATTGCCATTTCCCATTCCTGCATTTAAATCTTGACATCTATCCAACAGAAGCATCTCTTAAATTAGCAGAACTCAAATATAAAATTCTCTTTTCAGAAAACTGATAATCAAAACCACAAAATCACAAGGTTTTAGCAACCACAGTATGTCTACTGACTTTGTCTTTGTCTACACTGCAGTAAAACTGAGATTACAGGTCTGAAAAGTAGAGTCACTACAGCTGTCTGATGTACAACACAAACATGCACATATTTTGCTTACGGCCTGTATTAGCCTGTTAGGGCCAGTCTGCCTCCCTGAAGCAATACTAAATTCCAGTCCAATGCCCAGACTTGCTATGACTCTATTTGCCATTTCCCCTACTTTCAGACCGACTTTAGTTTAGATGCAGGCCTGCAGCTTTCTGTGTGTAATGTTCTATTGTTCTATTTAACATTAGTTAGTCTTACAACAGTGGGTACAAAACTACGTACCCTTGACATTTTCAAGTGCACAATTCTGTTCTGGAGGAAAACAAATATTCACAGTATGAGTTCAGTGGCTGCTCTTACTGGCCGTTTTCCTCCTTTAAAGATCCATGATTATTTGGCAGGCTTGGCTGTGTAAATGACCTGTGAAAGGAATCTTGTAGACAATGGAATCATTTCTGCAAGATCTGCTTGTTATGTGAATCCACACATATACGTATGCTTGTTTAACATTGGCAAGAGTCCTGTTATGATAAGCAGACAAAAGGCATCTGGTGGCTTATATCTGCGACATGATGGAAATGATCACAAAAGTGGTTTCTTCCAGTCTAAACCACCTGTCCCACAGTAGAGCATTGGCAGAGTCCAATGTTTCAGCCCAGGGTAAAAACTTCCAGTGTAAACAGTATTTGTGTGTGTGTGTGAATGGTCCGTTTCTTCCTTGAGCAGGATAATGAAGATCACGAGAAGAAGAAGCATGAGGACAGAGAGTTATGTCACTGAGAGCCATCCACAGCAGAACACAGTATCAAACTCTCCTAGAGTGTTTTCGATAAAGAGTTTTCTCTGGTGGACAGGAACAGCGCTAAAATGTCTGCACAAAAGGAGCCCGTAAAAGAATCCGAGCCCCAAACTATCACAGCACAAAAAACAGAATAAGCACCACCACAAGGATAACAACGAGGATGATAATTGCACACCACTGTCTTCGATCTGCCAGTAAAAACAAAATCAAGAGGAAGAGAAATTAGCGGTATACTTTCCAGAGATGCTAGCTCTTTTCACTGAGAACAATGCTAGAGTTAAGTTTGGGGGGAGGGGGGAGAGACAGCAATAAGAAAAACCATGGGGTTAAGGGAGACTTTTTGCAGAACAATTCACTTAGATATTGGGACATAGCAATCAATATGGTATGCACCACAAACAACTCACTCCTTGATATATCAATTCCCTCAATCAATAGCAGCATATTACTTTTTACTAGCATTTTTATTAACTGTACTTTGTTTATTACACATTTTATATGGCCACCCATCTCACAGATGCAACTGGGCAGCTGTCAACACATTAAAAACAATAAACATTATCAACAAAACCTAAAAACCTATAATGGATATCAAGAATAAATTTAAAGTCAGTAGGCAAGGCTTGGACCACCTAAACCTAGGACCCCCTATTCTCTGAAGGACATAAAGGTCTTCCATGCTTGGCAAAAGTGTCAGGTGCCAAATTAATCTCTTTTTTATTATTTTAATTTTCTATCTTCTGACTTTAAGGTTGCACTTTTGTTTTCTCAAACAGTGCATTTAGCAGGTCTGAAACAAGTGGTTTGAGACACTCTACTGATATAGAGGCTACAGCTGCTGAAGACTGGCTTGCCTTTCATGACCGGAAAAAATGACATTTTGTTACATTTTTGTTAGATTTCAGGCTACTTACCATTAGTCATATGGGATACTTTTGCAAGTTTCTTCATAACATTATCTAGTCGGGACTGGGTGCTGTCCACCTCATGAGAGAAGTCGTCCAACATGCTGCAAGCACAGGAAGAGGGCATCGATTATGCTCTGGACGATTGTTGTTTCTTCATTAGCGTTTTATAGCATCGCCTAACACTGTTCCCGTGTTCATTACTGATATAGTGGCACAAACATGAACTGTCTCTAAGAAGACTGAGGTCCCTATGATGCAATGGCCTATGCATTAAAATTTCACGTAAGAAAAGTTAGGCAAGAGTTTGTTACAAAAAGTTTTACCTAACAGAGAAGTAGATATAATTTGGAAGAGTCTTGGAGTCTACTTCCTCATGTCAACACATTAAAAACAATAAAACTTGATTGTAGATATCATCTCTTTTCCCTCTTTCAATCATTACCTTCCCCACAATTTTCCCTTCTTCATTTATTCATTTTATCTCTCTCACACAAAGCTCATACGATCTTTCACTTATATATAAATTTTCTTACATCAGAGCCTTCCAAATTAACTAACTAGAAGTTACCGTATTTTTGGGACTATAAAACTGAATGCTACAAATTTTTGGCATTTCCTGGAAATGCTAAGTATTTAGTCTCATTTACTTTATGGGTTTATGAAATGGAATCAGCAGCATGCATCCTCATCTGTACATACCAAAACATAAAAGCAAAGTCGTTTTGACTTAACTTTCAGCGTTAAAACACATTTTGGAATGAACAAATGGAACTCAAGAAAAGCCTATTCATTCAATGTGGTAAACATTGATGGAAAAGTAGCAATTCAGATAAAGGGGGGAATAGAATCTTCCATTTAGAATGATAAATTATTTTATTTCTAGAAATACTGTTTCTCACAAATACTCTCAAGCAATCAGCTTGTTTGCTTCTTAAAGAGTTTCAGTAGTTCATTGCGATTCTCCCAAAGCTGTTCAGTTAACTTTAAGCTTAAAAAACAAGATTGCTGCTTTTCTATTTCATCTGAAAAAATGTTTGAAAACAAAACATGTATACTACTCCTCAATTTGTATTTTTGTAATGCCAGTTATTTTCCAAATTAGATATTAAGTATATAAAGAATTTTTAGAAAATAAAAATAATTATGGGATAAGAAGATGCCAGTATGAACTAAGAAATTATTTCCCACTTGAAATTATCCCTACCCTGTTGCTCTTTTATTCATCAGGAAGACAAAATATTTTTGAACACACCTTACCCCACAGTAATGAACAGACAGATGGCTGAAATCCTTACCATTACTAATACTGTTAGGAGACAAAGACGAATATTTTATGTACCGTATTTTTCTGAGTATAAGACACACTTTTTTCCCGCCTAAAAGAGGGTGGAAATGTTGGTGTGTCTTATACACCGAATATAACCATTTTTGGCCTCCTGAAGCCCCGCCCCGCTCGTTCCATTTTTGCAAAAAAATGGGCCTGTTTTTCAAAAAAAATGGGGTGCGGAGAGGGTTTGGGAGGCCTGCAGGTTGCTCCTGGGAGCCAGGGAGGGCAAAAACCTTTTTTTCCTCACTTCTTCAAAATCTTGGTGCATTTTATACACCATTGCGTTCTACATAATCAAGCTAATCATTTCTGAGGCTCTTTTTTAAGCTCAAACTCCATTTCACCCCATTTAACCATTGCTGAACCAAGCCAAGCTAAGTTAGGCCAATTATTTCTGCTGCTGGGTGAGAAAATATTTATAAATTGCATCAAAGATACTATCATGCACATACTCAATAACTTTCTTTCTGACTCACACACAACCTAGGGATGATTGTTCATGAAGAAGTCAATACAGTAGTGGGATTTAGCTGCCAAGAAGGCTGCTAATAATAAATTTATATTATGCACACAGGGATTCAATTTGCTTAATACTCACACAGCTTGTTCATCCAATTCCCCTCCAATGCGTTGGGACATATTCTTTAGTACTCCAATACTGCCAGAGACCAGCTCCAACTGTTCATCCTGCTGATCAATGATTAACTGGAATACAGAATAGAGTTGGATGAGGGGACAGGAAGAAATGAAAGAGTTATGTAGTTCAAATTATGCATTGAAAAAGTCATTGGCTACAAACTGCAAAATGCTCTGGCTTCTTGAGCATCCAGATACTGCCTTGAAGAAAAAGTTCATCTTGCCATTAAAATGATTGAAGGGGGGGAACAAAAGTTATACTGAAATCCCCCCTTTGAAACTCTTTTTTTTTCGTAAAGAAAAAAAATCCCACCTTATATGTCTGCCCAGATCTGAAAAGGAAAACTGAATTCCTTCAACTATGATTTGTCTAGCTAGACTCTCAATAATACTTTTTAATTTAAATGGGTGTGAGTTACTGATGAATTGGAGAATGACATGCCAACATTCAGAGAAGGGGCTTTCTTGACTCAAAGCCTGGTTCATGGGTACCTTTAACCCTGAGAATGTGTATTTATGTGGGAAGAGGAGCATCCTGATTTCTGTGTCTTCGTACAAAGTAGAAAAGGTTCATTCATACTTGCTACTGGTACCAAATATATGCGTCTCCCTGGATTTCCCTTGTTCTTCATTTGGATACTGTGTCAGATTGTGTATGTGGGATGAATATACAATATACACTCCCAGACACACTTTGAGAAAGAAATGCTCTTATCACCTTGGAGGCATGATGTTCACTGTCGCCTCCTGACTCCCCCAATCTGAAATACAAATGCAAATGTATCCTGAGGTTGCATATGAATCTCACCTATTATATTAAGAGTCTGTGAGATTTGTGGGTGAAAGCCTCATCTAGAAATCCCATTCTATAAGTGGCTAGTTGGAATCTTTGCACAGACAGACAGATCCAGACTACCTGCTGCTGTGCTTGCTGATCTTCAATGAAGTGTGAATTTGCAGACTGCATTTCTCGATCCAAGCGGCTGTATTTATCTGTCCCGGAGCTCCAGCTGTGAGTTCTACTTTCTCCCAGAAGCACCTGCATAGGAAATGCATGGTCAGTTATTGCATGATGTTGAAATTGGACCCTTGCAAGATGTAGATGCTGTTTTGTCATCTCAGGATTTGATTTTAAATGGGCTGGTACTTGTTTGAAGCAGATAATGTGATATTTGAGGGTTCTCCTGAATTTACACCTATTGCTGGATTTGCAGGAAGAGACTAAGATGAGGGGGTCTCTTGCTCAGCTTTGACTGATGCACTGGTCCAATCTTGAGTGGGAGGTCTTGGTGACAGTAACTCAGGCTTTTACCACCTCTAAGTTATACTGCAACATGCTTTAATGGGGATGCTTTTTAATAGTATCTATAATCTGCAACTGGTGCAAAAGGTGGCAAAATACTGACAAATGAGAGTAATACCTACAGCTGCACAACAGAAACTGCACTGGCTTTCAATTGGCTTCTTGGTACAATTCAAAGTGCTGCTTTTAATAACATGAAGCATTAACATAAAACATAAGATGCCACTCCGGTATCTATAGGAGTTTCTCCTATAGATACCATATGTGGAGTATCATCCACATATTCCAAGAAGGGATTTTCAACATTCTCCCCATCTAAGAAACAGAAGAGAAACAGAAGCAGTGTTTCTCTGTGCAGCCACTTTGCTTTGGAATAACATTTTCCAGAAAATACTTCATTGGCACCCACCTAGCTTTCTTTTAGAAAGCCATTAAAACAGCATTGCTTAACAGAAATTTTGGCTTATGACTATCAGCATCGGGTATCAGTGGGGAGTGCTGTTGGCTGGTTTACTGACACTTTTTAGTCATTCCCAATTGTGTGGGGTTGTTGTTGTTGTTGTTTTACTGTTGTATTCCATACAGTCTCTACTAAGAGGGATGGAATATTAATACTGTAAACAAACAAACAAACCCACTCTCTTATTTTAAACTGTTTATTAATTATTCTGATTGTATGTTTTTAATTCGGAAACCTCAAGAATGTATACTTGATTATGGTGGCATGCAACAACTGTAAAGCAAATGGACAAATACAGCAATATAAATCTCATGACTCAGACTGATCTCATCACATTTCTAAAATCAGATTTTTAAGACTCAGTAATTTTCTATTTTCAAAGCTGCTGCTACAGCTCAGTTTCCAAGCAGGTTATTAAGGAACAATCCACTTCTTCCTATATAAAAGGAACAGTGGCGACAGAAAAAAATGTATTAGTTTGAAACTAAGTAGTTAAAGAGAGGCTGAACTATAGTGATGACAAATGATCAAGAAGAAACCTCTACTTATTTTAATCTATGTTTAGAATTTAACTTTGCTGTTTCACAGCTATGTCAGACCCAGAACAATGTGAACCAATGTGAAGATTTAGCTATTAATTTTCAGAAAAGCTTATATCTGCACAGTTTAACATGTACAGGCAATATTTAAGAATAAGATTTTGTTTGTATAGCTTTAAAGGGCACACAAATAGTTCTGTTCACTTGAAATCCAATCAGTCTTGAGCTCTTAATATGTCCAGGAAAGGATCAGGGAACTGACTGGCATCTCTTCCCCATAGCAAGACAAAGATGTGCTGCGCCACACAAACTCACTTTCCACCAAAGCTGTGTCTATATTTGAAAATTCATGGTTTCTGTCTTCAGCACCCCAACATTCACTTCCTGGTGGATTATCAATGTGAGTTTAACAATAATTCCGTCCTTTCCATTAATTTAGGGGGAAAGCATGAACCAAGTCCAGTATGCTTCCTGAACTAAGCATACCTTTTAGGTGAGTGGCTAATGTTATAACTAAACACTTAATAGAAACACTCCAGTCACAACTAACAAAGTTGGCATCCAAGATACAAGGTAATCCAGTATCAATACTGACCTGCCTGTTTTTCTTTTCAGCCAGTGCTTGAACAGAAGTATTTGACATTTGATCCTTCATATCCTATTGTTTTTTTAAAAAATATATGTTAATGTAATTGACTCATACAGTAGTTCATTTACCATAAAATAGTTTATGTGACATACCCAACTCCATTGTCTTTTCCTTGCTTTGTTTTCTTTGGGAATGTTTCAGTAACAAAAAGCCTTTTAAGGGCTGCAAAGCTGATATTCATTTGCATATTTATTTCAGAAGTCAGACTAAATATAATCCTGAAAAGGAAATGGTGATGCAATCCCACTATTTTGCCAAGAAAACCAAATGGACATTCATGAACTGGACAGTGTCAACATGGTATTGGAAGATGGGCCCTTTAGGTAGGAAATTGTTTTAAGAAGCACTGTAGAACAGCGGAGGACAAGTACAAGGAGCGCCAGTGTTTATGATGTGGCTGGATTAAAGCTGAAACAATGCCAAGTTGCTGATGTGTCAAGAGGAAAAATAAAAGTTTGATGCTGCAAAGATACGTATATCACTGGTTTATGGAATACTGCCAAATTTATAGTCAAACTAAACTTGATACTGTCAAAACAAAGTTAGGATTGAATACTGACAATGTAGGAATTGGCAACTTGGAATGCACTGCACATCAGTATCAAATATTATAATTCTAAATTTATGTTCCAGCCATAGATGCAAAGGAAATGTAAGTTCAACAGTTTTATATGTTTGGCAACATCTTGATGAAAAAAAAAACTACTAAAAAGAGACATCATAGTAGTTATAGGAGACTAAAATGCTGAAGTTGGAAATGAAGTAACATACAGTATGAAATAATGGGAAAATTTGGCCTTGGTGTATAAAACAAAGCCAGAAACAGAATAAAAAGCTAAAGATAAAATTCATAGAAAAGAGGTAATATAAATAAACAGAAAAATTCTACAAAAGGAACCTTGAAGTTGGTATGTCTAAAGGTTTGATCATGGAACTAGAGCCAGAAATTCTTGTCAATAAAGTTAAATGAACTCTAAAGACTATTTCTAATGCTAAAGCTGTAGCTAAAGTCAATGAAATATAAACAGAACTGTTCAACATCTTACAACATGATAAAGATACAGATAAAATACTACATACAATTAGTACAGATAGTCCTTGACTTATAACTGGTTGCTTAGTGATTGATCAAAGTTATGACAGATTCCCCAAAAGGTTCTTATGATCCAGTTCCAAAGTTCCAACATGCTGCCACCACCAAGTCACTGCATTTGGGGCACTTGGAAACTGGCCTGCATTTATAGCCATTTGCAGTGTCACACAACAATAGTTTACAACATTCAGTAACTGTTACAAAAAGAGTTGAGCCAGGAAAACAAGGAACTAATGGAGAGGAACTCAAACCCCCCCCTTTCTTTTGACTCCCTTTAATTTAAAGGGGAAAAAGGGGAAACACTCTCAGGCTTTCAAGATTCTGTTATTATGGCTTAAATCAATAAAGTAAAATACTAGTATTTCTTGTGGTATCTCTATCCTGACATGGCTTCTTAAGGATCTCATAGCCAGGTTAAAAAAAAGGTTGACAAAAAGCAAGCTGGCCAGTTTTTATCACTTATACTTTTTGTTGACAAGAACTCGAAGGAGCAATCACTATTAAAAACAATCTTGGAGAAATAATGTTCACGATGACATAAAGAGTTAGAAATGACTAACAAATGAGCAAACCACCACAAATATGGGAACCCAGAAATAAAATACTTTAAAAAAATACTTAAAGCAGGCATCTTGAGAACTACTGTAATGCCGCAATCTGGAGACCTAAAATGTGCTCCAAAATATTCTTGTCTGGTATAAAGGCATTTTGCGTTTGATATTTTCATGAATTCTGACTTATAGTTTTGACGGAAGTGATGGATTGTCATTGTAGAAAATCAATTTTCTACAATTTTCTACATTTCTATTTTAATAAAACAAAATCCTGTGTTTTATTAAAATAGAGATAAATATTGTAAGGTATTTTTATGACTTGCCATCAGAAACATTGCAGTGCATGACCAGAATTATGTTTTTGTTCATGAATAGCAATTTTGAGAGATATCTTCCTGTTTAATTTCATGGTGAATTAGAAACTGTTTATGCTATAATAAATAGGTAAAACTTCTTTTGCGATATATCATAGCGTTGCCTCAAGCAACTCAAGCGTCTTACCCTGACCACTTGCCGAGTGCTTGTGATGAAGGCTTTTCTCACACCTAGTTCTGTGGCATCAAGGTTGAATTTCCGAGGATTTGCTTCAACAATGCGTTGAGAATAATCAGTTAAGGGATTACATTTCAAATGCAATTTTTACTTATATATTTTCATGAAACCTTTAAAAATTAATAATGCACAAGGAAAAACAAGGAATACAAAAATAACAACGACAAGGAAAAACTATTCTATCAGCATTTTTAGAACTGCTATGCTCTTATGACTTGCTTTCTTGTTTCCTGTTTTGTGAGATCCGGGGCTAAAACCATTATCAACACCATCTCAGAATTCAATTCTGATTGTCTTTTGCTGGCTAAGTGCTTCTTAGAGATACACTATTAAATGTTATCTTCCTCTAACAATGTTCTATTTGTGACTACAGACTGTGTAAAGGAAAGCAAACATGTATATAACAACTTTATACTCTGTAAATGTACAAATGTCCATTTATAGTGTATGTCTTATACTTTTATAAAGGACAGTAGTTATATATTTCTGAGTTCAACAATTGCTCCAAAATAAGTTGGGTGAGAACTTTTATTTATGTATATAATATTTATATTATATACATAAAAGTATAATGTATATAAATATAATATTTATATACATTATATTATATTATTAATTTTATGGAAAAACCATTTGGCTGCTTGCCTAGATACTATGTGAATTTATTTAACTATTCACCCCAAGAACAAAAAGGATATTAATTGTTTCATCTAAATCTTCAAGATCCCACTCAATACTCCTTAAGTTGTTCCTTAGCTCATTTGTGGTCCAGTCGATTTCTTCTCTTGTAGCTGTTGACGGATCTTGTAGGAGTTCTGTCCATCTCTGGAACAGCCCCTGAGCAGTATTCACTGCCTTCTGAACTTCTCTGGAAGTGAAAGGAGGGAAATCCTCATGAGTATTCACATAGAAGGTATCATCATATAAATTGTAAGTATCATTATGGGACTATATGTCTCCACTAAAACTTCACTTTATAGACTAGTATATCACTCAAAACCCCCTCATCCTTTAGCCTGAAAGTGAAATACATGCATATAGCCATTTGTCATATACATAAAATAATATATATGGGAATTACAGTAGCTCATCTATATAATGGTGCATTTCTAGGTTCAATTTGTATATATATATATATTTCCTATATATGAAGGGTAAGATTAAATCATAGCTAAGAATCAGAGAGGACTGATATTTTATTCTTCTCTCTCTCTCTACTAGACAAAAGATAGCAGTGCTGAGTGGGTACAAATTATCCCCATGATCTTTTTGGTGGAGGGAAATGATTTGAAGAATTTATCATTCACTATTTTAAACTCCTATAATGCTACTGAGGTTTCTAAAGTGGCTTTAAAAATGTTGTTTGAAAACCAGATTGGTAGTAACTTAAATATTTGTTGCAAGGAAGGGATGGGGTGGAAGGGTTAGGAATGCATTGATATCAGGTAGACCAGGATATGGCAATCCAAAGACACAATGAATATTTCTGATTGCAAATAACATGTTGACGACTATACTGATCTCTGACAGTAATAAAGATTGACTTGACATGTTGGTGATTCAATACCAGAAGGGCCAATTTTAGACAAATTTGTGTCAGAAAACTCAAATGGTACACAGTGTTTTACACAGTTAAATCAGACCATACACTGTTAACTTTCCATAACACAGCAGCTGAAGCATCAAATCTGGATTTAGGAGGACAAAGTTTCCATATCTTCACTTCTCCAGAAAGGGCATAGAAAGGGAAAGGGGCGCTTCAGAGGACGCTCTAGCTGTACCCATTCCTCTATATGATGGATTTCCTATTCATCTCCTTTCCTTTCTTATTTACAAACATCTTTTTAAATTTAAAAAACAAACATTAAAATACGAAATAATATAAAGGGTAAAAAAGGGAGGAGAGTAACAGGACAGGTTAAAAAGTGACCAAAAAAAAAATAATAATCAAATATATAACAAAAGTGACCTCCAATTTATTTCAGTACACAAATAATACAATTCAACAATTGTAATTTAAACAAGTCAATAATCAATATTTAAACTGTCTTAAATACTAATAAATACTCTAAAAGATCAATATTCACATCACATCCTCTTAATTTTAATCTAATGCATACTAAATATGAATAACCATATATTTTAAAAAAACACATCCATCTAGTCAAATCAGATTTAATCCTCAAACCCAAATATGATTTTTCTCTTCATGTTGTATGAAATCTAACAGTGGTCTTCCATAACAAGCAATTTAGTCAGGCTATTGTTTCTAAGGAAAGCAGTCAAACTTGCCATCTCATCTAGTTCCAGCATTTAAGGTTATCTATCGTATTAAGTGTTCACTTATTGAAAAATGTTCAACTGAGTCTGTCTTAAACTTTTGAGGTATCTTTCAAAAAAAAAATATATATCCAGCCCTGTTCTGCAACTAATGTTTCATTTTCATTGATCTTCTAAGTAATGGTTTATCTAAAGAAGCAAAACTTTACATGGTGAAAATTCCCAGTACTAATTTTATTGTATAAGATTTTACTGAACACTATTAAAAAGTTAAATATACTTTTTCAGTTGCCATCAGTATGTTGGAAGGGTCTCATGGAAGTCCCTTCTTAGAAATAATGCCACAATCTAGAGAAATGCCAGGAAAGGACTTGGTCACATTAATTCAATCCTATGGAAGAAATTCTGAGAACACACAAGACCCAAGAGGGGGCTCATTACTTGGCACTGTTAAATACTCTCATCAGTCTCAATTATCTTGATTTCAGGAAAATGAAAGTAACAGTAAAGGACGTCTTTTTCCCTCCACATCAACAAAATAAACTTTTCTCATCCCCCCCCCCCCTCTTTATGTCTTTGACTAGAGACACCTTGGTAACAAATTAGGAAAAAAAGGCTTTTTCAAACAGTTTATAACACAGGGCCTTTAGTTCCACAAGGACACATTCAAAATTAGAAAAATGTTCAGAGAATGCCACTTACACAGTAGGCTATGGCTGTTATGCACATACTGTAATGAATTCAGCATGTGAAATAAGTAAACAAAATACAGTATCTTTTAGTAACAAAATGATAGTGCATTCAGTATGGGACAATAATAAAATTTCACAACTAATTATAACTTGCGCAAAAGAGAGCTGAACCTACAACAAATCACTAATTACTATATTTTACTGCACCATAAAAAGTTCCCCCTGAAAAAAATATTATTCTATTGAAAATCAATACATCATTTCAAAATATGGACAGAGAAAGTAGCATTTGCTAAATTAAATTTCAAGAGGCAATAAAAACATGTTAACTGTATATTTATATTATGACATTATTTTAATTTCAAAGAATGTGCAGCATGTTAGCCTATATGTAAAGCACATCCTCTACTTCAGCACAAAAGCTGCTTTATTTCATGAGAGGGCAGATTTTGGTGCTTAGGAGACACATGACGGTCAGGCTACCAAATATTATTATTTCTCTTAATATATTCTTGCACATAAGCTTTTGATTAGCTTTCCCTCAACCTAATATCTTTCAGACGTGTTAAGTTATAACTTTTATTATTCCCAACCAACACGCTGATGTTGGCTGGGGATGGTGAGGGCTGCTATCCAACACATCTGGAGAGGATCAGGTCAAGAAAGCTTAATATAGTAACAGAAAATAGAAATATTTGAAAGGTTGATTAAAACTGAACAATATGCAATCTTCCTGCCTATCCACATGTGTGCGCATGTGCGCACTCTCTATTTAATGCATTCTAAATGTACCTATATTTTTTTTCTTACAGTAGCTTGTATGCATGCTTCAGCTATAACAGCATTCTAAGGCAAAAATATTTAGATGTATATTTAAATATATATGTATTAAAGTTGTTTATACTATCGAAAATGATCAGGGTATAAAAGTATCTGGCTGTGCAAATGGAAAGTTCATAATCCTGGCCTAAAGACAATATTGTAGCACAACGATCAGTAATGATGAACAGAAGCCAAACAATGTTGTAGGATGAGAACAAGAGTCATGGTGGAATGATAATGATACAGAGACAGGAACATGATTTTCTTTCTGGGAGTTAAGGGAGATTTGGGAGGAGGTGTATTGGTTATTTTTAATTCTCTTAAATCAATTTATACATTATACTTGTATACATTACACATCAAAATGTTAGGAAATTATTCTTTGATTTTTGGCAACCTTATTAGAAAAGTGGTACAAAATAGGGAGTGAGAGGGCATATGAAGTCCTGGTACCACCCTATTCCATAGTGTGGCATCCTGAAATATTGTCTCCAGATATAGCACTGCCATTTAACTATTACCTCTAATAGATATTTGCTAAAACTTTCTTGCATACACCCAACTCCTTTCTTTAGGAAAATAAACCGCTATATCAAACTGAATAAAATAACTTGATATGTCCTGGATCAACTATTACCCAGTTTCACTGAGAACTCACCCATTTTAGATTTTTTCCCCCGGTTTCCACCATTCCATTTCCTTGTTTAAATCTCGCATTAAGATAAGTTACCTGTACACACCTCCACCCTTCATAATGCAGACCAACAGATCAAGAAAAGCGGAGCCAACCCCACTCCAGCTCCTTTTTGGATTTTAGCTACCACTGCTGCAGACAAGTTTGTGCCTGTTAACTTTACGTACTGCCAGATAGGCATGGGAAGCTGGCTTAGACAGGGCCAAGATCTGCTTCTGCTAGGGATCCGAATGATCCACCGAAAAGGAAGCGACACCTTACAACCCGCCTGTGCCATTTTTTACAACATTTCCCCCACCCCTTTTTAACTAGCCGCACATTACACCGCAACAATGTAACAAAACACGGAAGGTGGGGGGGGGGAACCCAGCAGACAGCAGGGAAGATTATCCCGTCCAAGAACGAGCAGGGAGAGGGAGAAGGAAAAAACCCCGAGAAATAAAGAAATAAATGGGTTCAGGTCCAGAAGTGGCACCATTTCAAAGAAGAGGGCCGGTCTTTCTTCCAGGGCAGAGACGGGCTGACCATCCCAAGGAGGACTAGGCCGGGAATACCACCCACACCCTGGGCAATGCCTCCTCCTCTTCTTCCTCCTCCGCCGCCGCCTCCTCCTCCTTGCGGGCTGTCCACCCACCCTTTCACCACAAAGAAGGGGTCCTCCATGGACATGACGCCTGGCGTCCGTCGCCGTGCGGGCTTGCTTCCAAGTTGGTCCCCCCACGCCGTGCCCAGCGCTTCCCAGCCTGGGCCGCCCGTTCGCTTCCGAGGCTTGTTGCAACCCTCCGCTCGCCCCCTTTCCCCCTACGGGCTGGAGCAGCAGCAGCAGCGACGCCTCTCCGCCCCGCTCGCTCTTCTTCCCACTCAGCGGGTTTCAGCGCCCTTGGCCGGAGGAGCCCCCGTTCACGTGAGAAGGGAAGAGCGGCACTCCCCATTGGAGCAGAAGGACGTCCACCTCGCCCCACGTGACGAGGTAACACGGGAGGCCCCGCCTTCCTGTCTGAGCGCTCGGCCAAATCAAATGCGCCGGGAAAGGGAGGGGCTTTGTCAATAATCTAACGGAGGAGGTGGGGTATTTGTTTTAATCTCTGTTTATGGAGTTTCTGTGGCATGCAGGCAGGCTTCTGAAAGTTCTCTTTCCAAAAGAATTTTAACATGCCCAGAGGAGGAGGAGGAGGAGGATAATGATGATGATGATGATGATGATGATGATGATGATGATGATGATAATAATAATAATAATAATAATAATAATAATAATAATAATAATAGTGATTGCATTTTTGAATGTTCAGTTGACTGAGTTTCATGTTTAATGAATATAGTAAATAATAATAATTATAGCATGTTAACATGCAACAGTGATACCCATTGTCATCAGGGCACTTGGTACAATGTCCAAGAATTTTATGAAATACATCAAGAAATTGCAGCTTCCTGCAATAACACCAGCGGAACTGCAAAAAACTGTGCACCTCAGAACATCGTATATTTTAAGAAGATACTTGGGTGATACTTAGGACGCTGCCAGCAACCCGTATCAGCCATTAGCACCAGTCAATGGTATTTGGGACACATTTTTAAATGTCCAGTTGACTGAGTTTCATGTTTAATGAATAAAATAGACGATGATGATGATGATGATGATGATGATGATGATGATGAAGATTGATCATCACACAGTCAGCCAGATGTTCAGACTGGTTTTGGCATTTTTGTCTACCTATCGCGTCCTTGCCAAGAACCTGGGATAGGCAGATCTGGATGTTTGACGGTGTTACAGATATCGTTGCAGGATAAAAGCTGTTCCAAGAAAAGCTGCTTTCTGCAATTGACTGATGTCGAATTTGACAATGCCAATGGTGTTCAAGTTGTTGTGGGAATGCACCCAAGGCGTCTATTGGTACTACCGTTGCTTGCCTTTGCCACAATCATTCTGTTTCTAGTTGTAGATCTTTGTAGTTTCTTATCTTCTCCAGTTCTTTCTCTTCTATTCTGCTGTCTGCACTGCCACATCCACTATCCAGACTTTTTTGTCTTTCTTATTGACAACTGTTGTTGTTGTTATTATTTATTGCATTAATATCTCACTTTTCCACATTTAATAAAACACTTCTTCCAGTTTTGTGGTCAGGAGGACAACATCCCTGTATGGACTAAAGCCATGATATATTTAAGTATGGTTTATTGAATAAATCACAATCATCTGATTCATACAATTAAACAAACTTTACTTTACAAACTACAATGGCCAAGCTTGCACAACACACTCCAACACATTTTGACTTAAAATATTATGCAAATTTAGCCAATATGAGCCACAGTGGTGCAGTGGTTAGAATGCAGTACTGCAGGCTACTTCTGCTGACTGCCAGCTGAGTGCAATTTGGCAGTTCAAATCTCACCAGGCTCAAGATTGACTCAGCCTTCCATCCTTCCGAGAAGGGATGGGCTTCAGATCCTTTAGCAATGGGTTCGCTGCTCCGTTGCTAGGTGGCATGGCCTAGTCGGCTATCTGCACCATGGCGGGGGAAGGCATTTTTCACTCTCCCCAGGCACCAGAAGCTTTCCTTGAGCCTCTGGGGGGGGGGGGCGAAAACTGCTTCCCCCGGAGGCCAGAGGCCCTCCGGAGGCCGGAAACAGGCCCATTTCCAGAGTTCCGGAACCTCCGGTAGGCCAGTTTTTTGCCCTCCCAGACCATCCACATGGCCCCTGCACTTACCTGGAATGAACAGGCCATGTGGAGACTCCTGGGAGGGGAGGGATGGGCATGGCCAGGCAGGGATGGCATTTGGGGATTCACCAAACCCCAGCGATCCTTGGCTAGAGGATTGCCCGAACCCTGCCGAACTCCCAGGAGCCCCCCTGCTTCCGAGGTGGGTAAAATGAGGACCCAAATTGTTTGGGGCAATATGCTGACTCTGTAAACCGCTTAGAGAATAAAGCACTATGGCTGTAAAGCACTGTGAAGCGGTATATAAGTTTAAGTTTAAGCAGCATCCAGAACAGTGCAGAAACTTAATTGAACCAAAACATGGATTTCTTTTGCCTGTTCAACTTACCTCAGAGAGGTAGCAGGTAAATTATAGCTAGCCAAATGCATTCCAATGCTACTTGGACATTGGGACAGAAATGAAGACCAGGAGACCTCTAAACTGAACCATCTCTATTGCTGCTTTAGATCTGGGTGGGGGGAGGAGAATTCCAATTCAGAATCAGACAGCCATTTCCTACATTCATCTTATCAATAATGAGAGCTAGTTCATACCATCAAGATACTGCAGCTTATTCTTTGTGGTAAGCCATACAAATTCTCTCTCTCTCTCCCTCCTTCCATGCATATGCACACACACACTTTTGAGTTTTTGGCTTCTGGTGATGGCTCATTCCTGTAGTTTTCTTCGCAACAGTTCAGAAGTGGCTTACCAATGCCTTCTTCCCAGGGCTGAGAAAGAGTGACCTGCCCAAGGTTATTTAGCTGATTTTGTATTTAAGATTGGAGTAGAACTCACAGTCTCCTACTTTCTAGCCTGGCGCCTTAACCACTATACCAGACTGGCTCTCTAAATAAAATGTACTTCAGGGAAAAAGAAGATTGACTGCTCTACCTATGAAATTATAAAAATCTGTTTTATCCAATTGTATCTCCATACTGAATCCACTCCAACCCAGTGGCACAATGCAATTTGCCTCAGGGCTTCATAGCTCTTTTCCACCGTCAAAATACATCTAGTCTGCTAAAATTAATATTACAATCTCTCTGTTATCAATAAAAGGATAAGGACCAAACTGTTACACAGTGGGATGTATCTTGCTAGATGTTGTTACTCTCATTTATCAAGGAGGTCAGCATACAGTCTTGATTGTATATCCGTCTTTTACCAATGCACGGAATACACTGTCTCTTGACATCAAAGGCATTTTTCAGTCATTAAACCTGCATCAGGGAGCAGTTCCACCATATAGCATCAAGGCTGCCCCAGTTTCTTGTTCATACCAAGGGGAAGTTCCCAAGATCCTCTCACTCACTTTCTTCTGTGTTTCCACCCCCACCCTGCCCTGCTCACACTCCCATTAAGCAGCTGTGATTTCTGAATGAAGTTCCTACTTTTACTAGGAGGCTACACTGTCATTGCATTTTGAGACATAAAACAAAAATTGTCTTCATGCCTTTTTTGTTTTTCAAATAAAAATGGTCAAAAATTGCTGGACCTTCCTTTGTTTTACAGGGCACTGTCTATTCTGTTAGCTTCTTTTGTTACATTTTTGCCTGACCTATTTGCTTTTGGTGTGAATTGAAGCGGAATTCCCAAGGCTTGGGCCCCACTGTCGTCTCCCTCAGGTATTCCATTGTCACCCAGGACTAGGTTGTTAGCAGTAGAGAAACTGTTACTAAGGCTTTTTCCTCCCTAGTAAAAGTTGAAAGAGAGGGGGACAGTCCGCCTCTTTCCTCTCTTTATCTTCCAAAATCTGTCTCCTCTGTTTGGGCTTCTGCTCATTACTGCAATACGCTTTCAAGGGATGACAAGACTGTAAAGCTGCAGAGCAATAGGATTCTTCTCATTCGTGAGAGAGACAACAAAACCCAGCAGCAGTTCAAGAAGAGCATCGTATTCACTGCTCTGATCTGGTTCTAAAACTTTTTTCCCCATTACAGAAAGGATTTGGTAAGAAAGATCTTGGTTGTTGACATATTGCCAGAAATAATTCTTTCATCTTCTCAGAGATGTACAAGCACCATGGGAGTCCATACAAGCTCATGCAATCAGACTTGATCAACCAAAGATGCTTGCTAGAAGGCTTTTGACCTGCAAAGCAATAGCTTCTATCAGCTGAATAAAACTGGTTGTACAGATTTTTTTTGCATTGAGCCCTGAGGCAGCCTCTCCTCTTTGCAAGGTTTCTTTAGGCAGCAAAGACTTTCTTTGCCTTTGTGGAAAAAGAGAATTGTCCTAGCATAGGGATAAAAATTTCACCTTGCCCATATTATTATACTACTCTGCTGATGGGTGCCTTTCATGCCAATTCTGCCCTTCTATTTGCAGACCCAGAATTCATTACTATAAGAGACAAAATGGAGAAAACTTCAATATTAATAACATTAGGACATCATCAGGGTCACTATGCCAGTTGCAGAATATGGAAGTTAATAAATCAGGATTAGGCCATGTGCTTCTAAACACTTCCTACCTATCTGTCTCATAGAAACTAAGGATTCATTATTATTTTTTTAGATAGACTGAAGTGCCTCAGACTGACATGGATTTCAACTACCAGCAATGTTTCTGAATAAGACTTGTGTGCTCTACATGTAAGAGGAAAAAGAATCATGGGCTCAGAGAAGTGAATGCAGCTTTTGGGATTTGCAACAGTGAATTTGTGAAGTCAGCTCCTAAGAGAATCATTTGGTGATGGATCCCCTTTGTTAAGATTCCAAATTCTCAAAATTTTGATCTATATAAGCTCAACATATCAAAAACAAATACAATAAATCATGGTTTATTTTTTAATAACCACAAGCCTGCAGGACAGCAATTATAGGAACGGAAATCCAATATATCTAGACTACTAACATTGTGGTGTTATGCAGTTCATGCTGATTTTAAGACATATTTAATTTCTGGTTGGTTCTAATGGCTTTTATAGAGAGAAGTTTTTTTCAGCAACATCAATAAATTGAAACTTCAAAACCACTGACCAAATAACCATAAAACCTGTGGTGCAAGCCTTGAGAGAAGATTTATAAGAAGATTTTGTTCTGGGCCTTGTGGACATCAATACATCACTGACACTCCTTGGATACAATATTGCTGTTGTAGGTCTAGTCCTGATAGAACATGATATCTTAGTGCAAGAATGAACCCCTGCAGACATAAAATTTCATTCTGCTCAACTGTTAGGTGCTCTAGTATAATATTCTGCCATCGACAGCAGCCAAGAAGAAGCCTCTGAAAAATGCAAAAAAGCAAGAACTGATGTTGCTCTCAGCTTTAGTAAACAATAAAAGAATACTTTCCATGTTGCTATTATGAGTGTAGAATTTCAATAATTCATTTAGGACTCATTGCTAAGTAGATTGATCTGATTTATGTTTCCTTGACTAATATATGGAAGAGAATGCAAAATGGCATACAAAAATTCATGTTTAAGGATCACCCTCATAAAAATGTTTACTTTAGGATAAAATATGTCCTATGTGTTTTGTATTTTAATGCAGACTTTAAGTATCTTTTTTTTAAAATGAAACTTTGAAGCTTGAGGTAGAAACAAGGTGAAACAGATTTAAGAATACATGTAAACAGGGGTGGGATTCAAAAATTTTAGCAACTGGTTCTCTGCCTGGTTGCTGGATGGGCATGGCCATGGTGGACATGAGGGGGTCGTTTTCGCCCTCCCCAGGCTCCGTAGGCCGGAAACAGGCCAGTTTCTGGACTTCTGGTAGGCCCATTTTTTGCCCTCCCCAGGCTCTGGAAGTGTTCCTTGAGCCTCTGGGAGGGTGAAAACAGCCTCCTCTGGGCTACGGAGGCCCTCTGGAGGCCAGAAACAGGCCCATTTCCGGACTTCCAGAAGGCCTATTTTTCACCCTCCCCAGGCTCTGGAGGTGTTCCTTGAGCCTCTGTGAGGGTAAAAACAGCCTTCCCTGAACTCTGGAGGCCCTCCAGAGGTTGGAAACAGCCTTGTTTCTGGACTTCCAGAACCTCCAGGAGGCTCATTTTTTGCCCACCCAGAGCCTCCGTGTGGGCACTGGATTTACCTGGCATCCAAAATGGGCCCCGTGGAGACTCCTGGGAGGGGTGGGGTGGGCAGGGTCAGCCAGTCCTTGCAACCACCAGTTTGGTGAACCACATTAAAATTAACATCTGGTTCGCCCGAACTGGTCCAAACTGGCTAAATCCCACCCCTGCCCATGTAAATCTGACAATCATCCATGCAAAATAATTATTGGCAAATCCAAACTAGTTTAATCCATTTTTAAAAGCAACTTAAATTAACAATGAGTTTCACACTGTATCTTGAAGATCATATTATTTTGTTGTCTGTATAGATGAAGTACTGTAGCTGAGCTGTCCAACTATTGGGCCATCCCAAATCATCCTGTACATTCATAAGTCCAGCCAACTATCTTTGATGTAATAGGGCTTTGTCCTGTGCATAAACAAGCTTTTCCTAGATGTTGGCATTGGTAGCCACAACACAAAGGCTCAAAATTCAGACAAATGAGTATGAGGACATCTAAACCCCAGAATACCCTTGGGCCCACCAAAGATCATCCAACCACATTCAAGAAGTCTGGATACAATGGAGCTGCATCTTATCCATCCCAAAGCTGCTTTATAAACTGTAGGCAGAGCACTGCTGATAACTGGCACTTTCCCACAAGACAGATATGTGCCTGTATGTCTGCAAAGGGAGAAATATTTGAGAAGGGCCAATTTAGATTAAGGAAGTTCCATGCAATATCTTAGAATTCTAAACTATTTTGGTCAGTGATGGTCCTCCTCTCTCCTCTCACTCTCATTGGGAGAGCTACTTAAAATTTATTCTTATAAGACTCTTATAATCACTCTTTTTATCTTTATAGCAGCACTTGGCCAACTTTGGTTGATCTCAACAAGCTGAATTAAGATCTAAACTGAAGAGTATGAGAGAGCAGACTGCCCAGGACATGGCCAAACCTGAGCCCACTAAATTGGGTATAGGTAAAAGGACCTGTGAAAGAGAGACACTACTAAGAAATATCAACATTATAAGCTACACGGGGAAATTGAAAAGATACCCCAGAAGGACTGTTGCCTTCTGGCAGAAGATACAAAACAATTAAAACTCAGACCACACATTGTCTGAATAGTTTTTATCCCAGAGCTATAATTGCACTCAACAATGAACTAAAGGACCACCATCAGTGACCTGTTGGGACAGTATTACTTGATCTGTTGTGTAGATGTTTGGGTGATTTAGGGGTGGGGAATTGTGGTGGGTGGGAGGGTGTTTGGGGATTGTTATGTGTGTTGGACCTGGTCTTTGGGTGTTAAGTGAATTTCATTGTATGGGTATACTGTGTATACACGTACAATGACAATAAAGTTATTTATACTTACACTTTATGTGAAATCATTTATGTATTGTTGCCAAGAGAGCTACATGGCCAAAGCAACTACCTTAATTCAGAGATCTGACCTTCGTAAACCTGTAGGTTTGATTTGTAAGTAGATGGAGCAGTATGTTTTTGGGCTTCATCAGTGTGGAAATTTAAACCTAGTCCTAATAGTATAAGTACATTATTGTGGAAGCTTTGTATATAAAGCACTCCACAGATTGCTGATTAGAACTGGCCATTTTGAATTATAGTGTGCATCCACCCATTTGCTTTAATCCACAGGCTTTATCCGTGAACATTGGCTATTGAGTAGCCAAGATATGATCCTGCACAGTCCTAAGCCATATCAACTCCCTAATAGTTACACTCAGGGCTTTCCCAGTGTCAGATAAATATAAATTCAGAACAACAAATCATTCATGGGCAACAGGCACATCTTTGACAATTGTAAATGACTTTCACAAGCTGTTTCCTGTTCCCTGGTTTTTTGCAAGGCTGTCTGTTTTCCCTTCCTAGCAGGGAATGGCTCTCTGCAGATTTGATGTAGCCCATCTGTGAAAAGGTTTTCCCTTTTCCATCATCACCTGTTCTGCAGTCACCCCCTAAAAATCAAATGGAATTGAAAAATGAATACATAAAAAAGCCACCCCTTAAGTCAGCTTTGATTTGCCTTCCCCACTCTGCCAAGGAGCTGTCTTCGGAATGAGCTGCTGGAGAGAAAGACTGTTGTTTATTGTTGTCAAATCTTTCCAGACCAGCCAGATTAGCACACACGTACATCCTTTCTTACACCCATGTCATGTCCCTCTGTGACCCCCACCTGAGCAAGGGCGATGGGTGGGAGCCATTTTTATGGCAAAATATAGAAATCCAGAGAGACCATAGAATTAAAAAAAAGCAACCAGGAAGAGAAGAATATGACATTAACAGCCTGGTTACTCGTCTCCAACATTCCCCTCTGGGTCTGTGTGCGGTAAGCCATCCTAACCAATCGTGGTACAGAGACATAAACAGTCCACAACCAATCATAGCCGCTGTGTAAGAGCAACACTGGCACATGTGTGCCTGCAACCACAACCCTTTCTTGCACACCGTGGAAATCAAAGCAGGTTATTGCTCTCACACAGGGGCAAGAAAGCAGGAAGGCAGTGCAGCTACCTAATGTTGGCCTCACAAGCAGCCATGTGACTGACTGCCTCTGTTTGAAATTTACTAAAGAATTACATCAGTCTGGGAAGGGGAGGGGAGGAGGAAGGAGGAGGATGAAATCACAGGGGAGAGGAGAGGGATCTAGAACAAAAACATTTGTCTTCTTAAAAGGGTAATGTCATTGCCTGTTTTCTGCAATATTTATCTTCTCTTTTTATTGCTTTCTCCAACCTTGGCTATTCAGAGCACTTAATGTCTGTCAGATATTTAACATACTTCCTTCCAGAGGGAATTTCAGTTTTAACGCATCTGAAAGGTGCCGCATTGGCATACGTCACAATCGTTTGCCTATTGTCCCTTAGTCTTAGAAAACAAGGCTGATTGTTACAATGACGGGATGAACAAGAAGCAGAAACTTACATATTTGGGGACTGCGGGACTACCTGGATGTAACTCCTTAAAGCAGCTAAGCCTTTCTACAGGGTTTATTGCTTAAACTTAAACATTGTATGATGTCACTGACTTTTTGCATTTTTTGCTTTGTTTTTGACTTTTGGATTCCACTATTAACATTTTTTTTCTGTATTGTAATGCATTCTTAGGCATATTTATTGAGAAGAAAAGAATAGCAAAGCTGGAAGAACATAGTAATTGGGCCTTTTTGCCTGACCCCTGGTGCATACTGGAATCCAAATTAAAGTATCCCCGACAGATGTTTTTCTATTCTCTATTTGAACATAATCAGTGAACTCACCTCTCTTTTTAGTAATTGGACCCACTGTTTAGCTGTTCTTGGTGCTAATTAGAAGCGTTCCTAATATTCAACCAACATCCATCTTCTATAACTTAAAGACCATTATTCTGAGTCCTGCATAATGGAATGAAAGAGAACAGATGTTGACCACCATCTGTATCATATTCTTTCAGGTACTTGGAAAGAGCTATCATAGGCCTTGTGAGAGCCATTTTTTCTCAAAGCTAAAGTTAACAACTTAGCTCACTGTCTTCTTGCAAAACGTTTTCAGTCCCCTAAACATCTTGTCATTCTTTGCACCTATTCAAGTATGTCTGAATCTTTATTAGAATATGGAGCTCCTTACTGGATACATCACTTGTAATGCACTCTGACCACTATAGAATTAAATGAAATATTCCTTCCAATGATTTGAACTCTTTTAGTTATAGTGATACAGTTTGAAATTGCATGTCCTTTTTGGCAGGTGCGTTATTGCTAACTTATATTTTGGTTGTGATCAACTACAGTTCCAAAATTCTTTTCCCCATATACTATTATCAAATCAGTTATACTCAGGCTACATCTGAGCCTTTTATTTCCTTTACCTGAATGAAGAACATTTATATTTATCTGTTATTTTTAGCTTATTTTTCTAAATCTGTCAATGCTACTTCAAATTATGCTTTTGTTTTCTAGAATATTTGGTACCCTTCAGGTTCATTTCATCTGCTGATCTGATAAACATTGCCTACAGCTCTTCATCCAAGTCACTGATAAAAATATTGAAGCATACTGGGCCCACAACCAAACCCTGTGACATATCACGCCACTTTCATGAGTACTCTTTGAGCATAAATTTCCAATCAGATCTAAACTCACCTAGACATGCAAATCAACCTACTGGATTTAATTATTTTGCAAATCAGGGTACCTACATGTTTGCTAAAATCAACATATGTGATTTATAATATAAAATAATTTAGGCAAATAGCTTTCATACTGTTTATTTAGAAATATTAATTTGACAAGAATTGTTCTTTTCAAATTGATTATTTCTCGTAATAACTGCATTCCTTCCCCTATGCTTACAGATCTACCTCTTGTAGAATCTTCCCCATTATGGACCCAAATTGAGTATTCTACAACTCCCAAGCATTTCCTTCCTTCCCCAATTTTTGAAGAAAGAAATATTTGCTATCTCTAGGCACAAGATAGGCTATGTTACTCATTCTCCAACAACATTAGGTCCAACAACTTTCCTCTTTTATTTTAGGATGCAATCTATCTGTCTTTCCTGATTATGTGTAGATCAAATTCAAGCTGGGATCTTGTTCCATCAATCAATTTTTAACATTTTCTCATTTACAATTGCTTCAAAGAAAACAATGAACCAATATAGGGGCATTTCTGTCTTTTCAATGTTACCTGTTTCCTTTTTGCCATTTTTATTGTATTTGTTTCTTGATTACTACTATGGTTTTTTAAGATACATACAGTACATATAAAAGCACAGCCTGAATACATTTGATGTAATACAACACATTCTGTCATTAAATTTTCCCATTAAGTTTATTTATCTTATAAACTGCTATATTGACAAAGAAATCTCTATTCAGTTTTCTTAGTGAATTGGTTTTGTTTTTTATTCAGTAGAAAATATCATGATGGGTTATTTCCATGCTTTCGTGAGAAAGGGTCTATGCCCTGTTTAATGCAAAGAATCCAGAATCTGGTTTGGGAAAAGAAGTACTGCACCTTAAAATAAATATTTCTCATGGCTTATGTTTATTTTGAACTATTCAGAATGCAGACATCTGTACCAACAAGTTATGGAGAAACAGTCCTTGCTAATCGATCAACATTGCAATGCTCTACTTCACTCTCTCTAATGTCAGGTTCATGAATCCAATGAAATTTATTAGATTTTTATCCCATTCTTATTATTTTTATAAGTAACTTAAAGTAGTGAACACACTTAATACTCCTTCCTCCTTCTGTTTTCCCCACAACAACCCTGTGAGGTGGATTGAGCTGAGAGTGACTGCCTAGTCACCCAGCTAGCTTTCATTACTAGAATTTATAGTTTCCTGCTTTCTAGCCTGGTATCCTTTTATGATTATTCTTCTGAGTGTGGGTGAAGGGATTTAAATGGAAGCTTTAAAATGAATCTTTATTATTTTTATAAATAACTTAAGGTGGCATTTCTTCTCAGAAGTGACTTCAGTTATGTTCTTATTTTCAAATCACTACTTCACTACTGTAGCTTCATTACTGTTTATGTACGTTTGTCAAATCAGAAATAATCTGACTAGAAAAATAAATCAATGTTGTGACTAAAAAAACAAGATGTGTAAGGAAATGTGGTATTGGTCAGCAAGACAAATACTAACCCCATTTAGAGTGTAATTCGATGCTCACATATTTGGATTTAATTGACACTGAACCTCTGGGTAAATACATATAGGTTTTTGCAATGAATTATCTGGACAGCAAGCAGTTAGGCTGCACTTTATAAATGGCATTGGAATATTTAATAAGAAAAAAAATAGTTATATGATTTCATTGAAACATACCTCCAGATAAAAGCAGAAATTCTGCTTAAGACCACTTTTTAAAAAATAGATTAAGATCTGGCTTTTGTGAGGGAGTTTGGGTGTAAAGTCCATTAAATCATTGGCAAATTGTTTGCTTTATTATTGAAACAGGGAAAGTTTATCAAACTTGTTTGAATATGTGTGTATAATTTGATCATGAAGTGCTTCCCTAGACAATGTACAAAACTGATATGAAATTCAGTTTTATCATATTGCCTCAGTATTGCTGCTGCATTTTGCACTAACTATGCTTTGCAGACCAAATATAAGGCTAGCATCATGCAATATACACGATAATAATAGAGGCATGATGTTATCACTGTCTAGGATCCTTGAGTTAAGCTATTTTTTTTAATAAAAAGTTTTTAATTTTTAAAAAAGAGCTAAGTTACTCTTGTCCTGGTGATTCAGCTGAACCTAGTAAAGTGTGTTCTTTATCATTATGGCACTTGGTTTTTTAGGGACAATAAACTCCAAACTTCACTTTTACTCCTTTAAAGAGGATTGCAATCAAGGACAAGTTAAAGCTCTGATTTCTTAGTTCTTGGAACTAATATCCTACAGATCCACCCCTTATAACTGCATTCAGAAACTATCTAGGAGTATGCAGCCTTTTCCTAAATGTAATGGAAAAAGCTGGGCACAGTACAGGTAGTCCTTGACTTATGACCACAATTGGGCCCAAAACTTCTGTTGCTAAATGAGACATTTGTTAAATCAATTTTGCCCCATTTTACGACCTTTCTTGCCAGAGTTGTTAAGTGAATCACTGCAGTTGTTGAGTTAGTAACATGGTTATTAGGTGAATCTGGCTTCCCCATTGACTTTGCTTGTCAGGTGGTCACAAAAGGTCATTGCATGATCCCAGGACACTGCAACTGTCACGAGTCAGTTGCCAAGTATCTGAATTTTGTTCATGTGACAATGGAGATGCTGCAAGAATCATTAAGTGTGAAAAATGGTCATAAATCACTTTCTTCAGTGCCGTTGTAACTTTGAACAGTCACTGAACTGTTGTAATTCGAAGACTATCTATATTATCATCACAAAGTGATCCAAATCTGCTTTGAAGGCTCCATAGAAATTAGAATAGCATTAGAGAGAAAATGGTCATCCAATGCTCTCTGCTACTTAGCTTCCAGACAAACATTCTAGAACAACCTCCTCCACCCACAAGCTTAAGTGAGGCAATCCAAAAAGAAATCAAGCAAAAACAAGTGAAGCAACTAGGAATGTATTGATTTCCAAATATTCTTGACTCTTTAGTAGATTTATTGAGAATGTATTGTTAAATATAACCAACTTTATTATTCAGATTTTGCTTGTCCAATTATTACAAATGAGAGGTTCTTGGTGCTCTCTGAGCTTGTTTTCTTGCAGACGCTTCGTTACCCTAACTAAGTAACAAAATCTGCTCAAAGCTTTTTGAATAAGCTCTTCCTAGAATGATGCGAAACCACTATTATTCTTCTGAATAATTTCTGTGGAAAGGAATTATTATTTTTGTGTTACAGTGAGAGTAAAGGGTTAACTTGCCACTTCCATATTCACAAGGCGGCTTTAGAGCGAAAACCTGGGAGACGAGGGAAGCCGTTGACGGTTGGACTAACAAGAAAAAGAAGTAAGCAGCGCTGCGTATTTAAAATAAAGGAATATTTTGCTAGCTTCGTGGCAGACTCTTCAGTAATCATTCTGCAATTATTACAGTTTTGTCCTAAACTGTCCGTCCATGCCGCTTTATTGGTAAACAAACTCTGGATCACGTTCAGTGTGTTTATGCCTAATTGGAAAAAAAACCCCGTGCAAATCAATGCATGAAATCTTAATTAAATAACTCTTAAAGTGACGGCCGCGGGATTTACGAATATTTTTGTCTTTGTCGCCAAAATAAAGGTCGGAACCCTCGTGTCCAGCTAAACCCCCGGTTTTGTCACAATTCCCTACAGAAGCGAACCGCAACGTCTCTCAAGAACCCACGAGGGTTTCAGCGTTGCTCTTTTAAAAGCAGCCAGACGGCGCTGGAACCTTTTCCTTGCAACCTTCCTCATTGGCCGAAGGTCGGGGATAGGCGCGCGCAAAAAGGAGGCGCGCGCCAGAGGCACGCTGGGGTTGGCGGAGAGACGATTCAAGCGCGGCGGGTACGGCCGGGGCTTCTGATTGGTCGGAACGCAGAGGGGCGATATAAAAAGCGCGCGTCCCGAACAGGCTTGCATTCGGCGGCGGTGGAATGCAGGCGGGTTGATTCTGCGTCGCGATGTCGCTGTGATTTGCTCCGGCTAATTTTTAAAAACAAGAAACACCGCCGAGTTTCGTGCGGGTGCAAGAGCACAACGTATTTTCGGGGGAGGCTTTGCTTCGCCTCTCCGTCGAAGTGGGTGTCCGCCGGCGGCGATTCCCCGTGAAGTTGCCTACCACGCACCGGCAGAAAGGCGGCATGGAGTGCAAGCTGGAAGCTCACCGTATCGTCAGCATCTCGCTAGGCAAGATGTACAGCGCGCGAGGTCAACGCGGCGGCGTGAAACTGCACAAAAATCTTCTCGTGTCGCTTGTCCTGCGCAGCGCCCGGCAAGCCTACCTGAGTGAACTCGATTGCTCCCCTTCGCCTCCTCTCGCTGCTGCTCCCTCGCCGGCAGCCGCTGCGCTGAATCCTCTCCGAGATGGTGGGGAGGAAGGAGGACGCCCGCCGCTGCCTTTCTTCTCTCCTCCTCCTCCTCCTCCTCCTCGCGCCTTTCTGCCGCCGGCCCGGGCGACGTTGCCGTCTGATCCCCGGACTTCTCCGTGGTGCCGGAAGCTCCCGTCGCCGTCGGACTGGGAAGTTCAGCGGTTGCCACGCTGCTGCTGCTGCTGCTGCGACTGCTGCTGCTCCACCTCTTTCGTGAGCGAGGCTGGCAAACGGCCGGCCGAGGCTGCTCCTGCCCTCGACTGCTCCAGAAAACGGAACGCTGCTCTGCATCCCGATGGCGGGACCGAGGAAACGTCTCCCGGCAGCTCTCCGCTGAAAAAGGTCCGCAGGGAGGAAGAGGAGGAGAAAGAAGAGGACATGGAGACGGGCAATGTGGCCAATCTCATCAGCATCTTCGGCTCCAGTTTCTCGGGACTACTCAGCAAAAAGTCCTGCGGGGGCGAGAGGGAGGGCAGCAATCAGCGGGGAAGGCGGCAAGAGAACGAGGAGGAGGAGGAGGCAAGAGGGGCTGAGGCAGAGCCCGGGCAAATCTGTTGCGACGAATCGGTGCTACGAAACCTCAACCCTTGGAGTACGGCGATTGTGGCTTTCTGAACTTTTCCTTCCTCCCCAACTGATCCCGGTGACACAATATGGGACAGCTTTGATTCAGACGCTGGAGGGAGTAGGCAGCTAGGGCCCCGTCTGATAGGAATGGGGACATGTCCTCCTTAAGGAGAAGCTGTGTTTGGTGATGGGACTCAATCAGAGCAACCCCAGCTGCCCTTCACACTTCTTTTCTGGATGCCCTTGGTGGCTAGTGTCTCATTCTGCATGAAAGTATTCCAGCTAGTTTCCACCTGCTCAGAAATTCCCTTTTCCCCCTTTCTTCTCTCCACCTCCAAGCTTTTGGGAAGGTTAGAGTAGACCTCTTGTTATCCTACCACGCCGAGCATGTTCTGTGAGTTCATAAAGTCTTCAAACAACATTTGGGACCCAAGGGGAGAGCTTTCTCACCCTGCTATAAGGCTGTGTTGATGATGGGTGCTGCTGAGATGTGTTAACAAATCTATAGTTTGCAGTTCTCTGGGACTTTTGTTGCTCCTGGTCTTTGTTATATAAAGGCCCTTGAAGGAAAAGTGGGTCTTAATGGATGTTTTGTACAGTAAGCTCTTTTCTCTGGTTGTGTTTTGTATGAAAATGTAACTGCGTGTGTGACACGTATTAAAATATTTTGACATTGTTAACATTACACGTGTTCCTGTAATTTCTGGGATGGGGAGTTGGGCAAGGATTGGGAGCAGATGTGTAGAATATACTTCTCCGTGCTGATTGGATTGATGACACCCATGTATCAGGAGAGAGCATCAAGCTAGGAAAGGGCAATCTAGGATAAAGGATAATTTAGGATGGGAGTTGGAAAAGGATAGTCCTTGACTTACCCATTTTGCAAATCTGACAAAGGGAAAACTTAACATGTGAATTATGTTTCAGGAGCCATAATTGAAACTGACTGAATTGCCTACATCAGTGTAATGTGATAAATTTCTTTGCTGGTAAGCCTTCATTACATGCAAGTGATCACCTCATGTGATGGAATTATATCTGACTTTGATTAGAAGCTATTTTGGATACCTCTGTCCATGAAGAGTCTAGTACTCCAAAGTAATGTTTTGCAATCCTGGCAGCCTGAAAATATGTGGACTTCAATTCCCAGAATTCCCCATCCACTGCTCAAAAGTCCCTTATGGGATTGCTATTTTAATCAGTGCCAGTTTCTCACTTATATCAAGAGAATGGCTACCCTTTCTTGATCTGTGGCATAACATGGATGAAGGCCAGGTTGGTACCATGGACAGCTTTACTCAAAGGAAAGCATAAGTACCTCCCACTTAGGATACCTGAGGAAACCTGTCTGAGAGTTGCAAACTTAGAACAGCTCTTTTGACCAGGCACAGGGCAGGCTGTCAGCATCATCCTAAATGTGGCTAATGAAGAAGCTTTGTCTTGTCTGTAAACTGAAAGGTGAATACTGTTCATACTAATCTTCATCTCTGCTTGAGGGATTTGAAGCTTGTAAAACTACCTCCTAAGCTTCCTCAGTGACATAAATTCCAAAGGAAATCTGTTCTCACATCTTAGAAAAGTTTTACACTTCCCTGAACCATGTACCTTGAAATGAGTGTTTGTTTTGAGTAGGCTTGCTTTATAGAAAAAATAGGCAAACTGACTAGTTTGGAAGTACCTCAGGAACATTCCATTTTTATTTATTTAATATTTATTACAAAGAATAAAAGCAGAACTCTTAGAAAATTAGGCATGCTTTCTAGCATTTTTCTTTTGAGCAGAAATATATCTGAGGGAAATATCTTTTCATGTGAACCTCCACCTGAAATGGTGGCCTAGACCAGTGTTTTCCAAACTTGACCCTTTGAAGATGTATGGACTTCAACTCCCAGAATTCCTCAACCAGGCATACTGGTTGGGGAATTCTGGGAATTGAAGTCCATGCATCTTAAAATAGCCAAGTTTGGGAAACACTGGCCTAGACTAACACTGTCACATTGCCATTGGAACTTTGAAGTTATGTCAGATGTAGGTTATTCTTGGCTGTGTTTCCTTGACCCCTTAACATCTAAGGTCACAAAAAAAGACAATTCAACAACTGCCTAAATAGTCTGTAAAAACACTTATGTTTTACTATAATTGGGCACAGGGACTAGAGAGATGAGTCGAAGTGTAGACTGTAACCATTTATTGACTTTTTGCTGAGACTGACTGAAAAGTTGGTGATTTATGGATCTATATAGAAATAAGGGATGAATTAAGGCAAGAATGATTTGTCTTATGGGGGGAGTAAAGAATTTTCAAATTCGTTTATAGTTGTGATGAAGATCGGAAGCCACTTTATATACTTTTTCTTTGCACTCATTCTCTATCTGAATTTAGTTTGTATTTGTTTTTTCTATAAACAAATAAAGTAAAAACTTTCAGTAAAAATGATGATGAAAAAATGCAGAGACTAATAGGGTTTTAAGTTAGCCATGGCCCAAGACTCACTTATTTCAATATAATATGTGCCATTGAAACTAACTCAGATTTGAGAGAGTAATAATTTTGACTGACAGTTAAGGTAAGTTAGCCCTGTATAATTTTGCTTTCCCCTCTTCATAGCTTCTAACCTGAAACTAGACATATTAATTACAAAATAACATTTTAGCTTCACTATTTTCCTCCCCAAGCTTCCCTTTTCTGCATCTTTATATGCCAGACCACCATTAAAGGTGCAATTAGATTGAAAAATGAGTGGCAACCATAAGAACAGAAGAAATTTCAAGCCTTAGAACAGTGGTGGGTTGCTACCGGTTCAGTCCGGATCTTGTGAACCAGTAGTAATAGCGGCGGGAGGCTCCACTCAGATGTCATCACGGACGCTCTGCGCATGTGCAGAAGCGCCGTGCGCGAGCTCCCATTGGTAGCAAAGGTAAGTGGAACTCACCCCTGCCTTAGAATATTGAGTATGTGTAGCTGGCTGTTTATGTCATGTTTGTAAAATAATTTCTATCTGTATAGAACAAAAAGTTATAAGTAAACTGCTATGTATCTTTAATTGCCTTTGGTTTTAGGTAGAAAAAGTGGTATTGAGTATTTTTCATTCTAGCAATCTATTGATGGCATATCTTAATGGAGGAGTAATTTAAAAGAAGCAAAATGTTTTCTCTTACAAATTGAGCTAGTGATTTGCTTACACTCTTCCCTAACAGCAGGAAAGAAAGAAAAGTTGGATGGTTGCTGCTTTGGTTAAAGGAAGAATATCATGGAAACCACGCGGGATCCCAGATCATGTCCAGAAATCATTTTATTCCACCATGCTAATAGACAGATTGGCTGGGAATTGAGTTGAGTTTGTAATCCAAAACATCTGGGTAGCACCTCTATGGGGAAAGCTGTACTAAGAGTTTGATATTGTGGAGGTTTACTTTAAAGAAACGTGCATAATTAGGTAAACGCAAGATGTTTTAATGTGCCCATTTGCCATTTTACTAGCTTTGAAACAGGGAGGATTGAATGAAAGGACATTTGTAGGTAATTTACATCTCGGGACATCTTTAGTCCCATTCTTGTTTTAGGAAGAGAAAAGAAAATGGTTTGCAGTACAGTGGTTTGCTTCTAATGTTCTGCTTTTGTGTTATTGTCTTATTTAATAGTGGTGTAGGAGAGATTAGCTGGATTTCTCAGGAATGCCTTATTGCCTAGTTAAAAATGTTGAGATCTGGAACTTCATGCAGGGTCCCATCTGTAGTAGAATATTAGTTAATCACCTCAATGAGAAGTGAGCTAAGCTGCTATAGTAAGAATTCTCAGCCAGGTTTCTTATTCAACTGTGAATATGGGAAAAAAAGAGGCTAACAATAACTATGGGAAAGGTGGAGTCTCTTCTATGGAAATGACCAAGGATACTGAGGAAATAAAAGGGTCCACCCAATTGCTAAGAGTAAATGTCATTCCACCAAAATAGGTTTAGCTATTCTTGCTATAATTGACTTTCTGATTTGTATGTCTGTGTGCTGGAATCTGGGGATGTAAATTGTTAAAGCTAAACGGCACTAATAATGCTAATATTAGACTTTGTCCCAGTGGTAAAATCTAAAATTTGTTACTACTGGTTCTGTGGGCGTGGCTTGGGGGGGTAATGTGACTGTGGGCGTGGCCAATTTTTTAAAACTTTTAAAACCATTTTTTTCTACAATCTCTTCAGCGAAGAGGTTGTAAAAAAATACTTTCAAAAGGCTCTGATGATCCCAGCTGAGTTTTCTGATCGTCAGAGGCATTTAAAAGAAAAAAAGGGTTTTTTTCTTTTAAAAACCTTTGACAATCCCAGCTGAGCCACGCGATCATCAGAGGCTTTTTTTTTTTACTTTTAAAAGCAGGTTGTAGAAAAAATGCTTTTAAAAGTAAAAAAAAAAGCCTCTGATGATTGTGTGGCTCAGCTGGGCATGGGGGGGGGGGGGGCGGGGATTTTTGCTACCGGTTCTCCGAACCACCTGCCTCCATCGCTACCGGATCAGGTGATCCGGTCCGAACTGGGAGCATTTCAACCCTCCTTTGCCCCCCAAACTGCTTTCAGTTTTATCTTCATCTGCCTATGACAAATGGCTACCTTAGTTGTCACTCCCAGGTTCATGATTCTGCTGGTTGCGGATGATCTATAATACAATATGCTTAGAAAACACCTGGATGAAGATTATCTTTGATTTGAACATTTCCCTTCAACTGTGGAATAAAACATTTCTTTTTGTAAAGCAGAGAAGGATTTCCTAATCTGCTATCTTCCAGTTATGTTGGACACCACCACCAAAATATCCCTGGTTATGGGTGGGAATGCTGTGACCTATAGTTTTCATCTAAACCAGAGGTGTCCAATCTTGGCAACTTTAAGACTTGTCAACTTCTACTTCCAGAATTCCCCAGCCAGTATGTCTGGCTGGGGAATTCTGGGAGTTGAAGTCCACAGGTCTTAATGTTCCCAAGGTAGGACACCCCTGGTTTAAAGGTTACTGATTTGGATTGAGATCAAAGTTGGGTTGTTATGAATAAAGTATAAGGAAAGCAGCAAAGGAATCTTTAATTACAATATGACCTAGAAACTACTTCCACATGAGAAGTAAATCAACAGAATTGCAACTGAACAAAGAAAGTCTCTTAGAGTAGATAAAATTAAAATGACAATAATAAATTATGACTGTCTTCCAGGTTAATTACAGCAAGCCTACTTTTCTGAGAAATAAGAGTGCTGTTAGACTAAGAAAAATGTCCTCATATTAAAAGGCCCCTGCCTATATTTCTTTAAGAAACTTTGTGACTGAAGGCTAAAATAGCTTGGACTGAATGATTTCTTCCATTTCAGCTTCTCTACTATGGCGGTTTTGTGCCTGGAAGTACCCTAAGCATCTCTGATATCAAGAAAATTGACAACAGCTTCTATTTAAAGAGTTTCAAATCTTTGAACTAGACCTTACTTATTCACTACAAAAAGACCTGAATGCCTAATGCAGAGATAGATTAAAAATACTTTTGAGGAACAAAATAAGTGTACTATGCACAGACCTGTGATCAGGTGAGTGCTAAACAGGGGCAGATCCTGGTTAGTGCTTGGGAATCCAGTAAGACATACCTGTTTACAAACTCAAATGAGTAGCTGCAAATATCCCTAAAGATGACAGAAGCAAGTTGTTTCCATGCTGTTTGTTT